AAAAAAAAAAAAAAAAAAAAAAAAAAAAAAAAAAAAAAAAAAAAAAAACAACAATTAGAATTATTTTAAATTTCAAAAATAGGTTAGGATCAAAATATTAAAAGAAAAAGTCAGTTAGTCAAATTTAAAAAAAAAAAATAATAATAAATAAATAAATAATGTTTTTATACCCAGTTTTCCCAGCAGTCATTTAAATATAAAATTAATTTCAGTTATAATAGATATCAAATCCTTAGCTCTCATAATAAAGTTAAAAGCCAAAATCTTTGAATGTCCTGCATAATGCCCAAGTTCGGCTAATTTCGTTACTTATTTTTTATAATTATTTAATTATATTTTTATATTGAATTGTTATGAATTTGTTTGAATATTGTTATTGATTGATTTAATTATGCATTTCTATTAATGTTTACTATTATAAATATAAGTATATATGTTTAACTCAATATTTTAACAGCAATTTTTTTTTTTTGTATTTTTTTTATGCAATTTTTTTTTTTTTTTCTCATTTGCAGCTGAATTTCATTTTGGTTTTATTTCATGCGCTCAAAAGAACAAAAATCAAGACACCCACACACATGTAAATACACAACACAACAGTAGTTCGAAACACATTGAAACGCACAAAACGAAACACAACACACACAACAAGAAATACTTTTAATGATTTGCATACATTTTTTAAATAATTTTGATTGCATTGCATTTGATGTTCGTTGATGAAATTTCTTGTGTTTTTCCGTTTTTTCTATTCTGTTCGCTTGTCTTATTTGCTTTCCGTTTCCTAGTGTCTTCTTCGTTGGCATAATGCCATTTATTAACATGCTCTTAACATTCTACTTAACAGTACACGACACAAACTGTCCTGTCGCAGAACGCCGATGGCACCGTCTCTCTCATACAGGTGGATCCTAACAATCCAATCATAACGCTGCCCGATGGCACAACAGCTCAGGTTCAGGGCGTGGCAACGGTATGTCCAAATGATGCTGATGTTTGTAAATAACATTGTTTGCTCATCACTATGCCGTTAACTAACATTGCAGCTGCATCAAGGCGAAGGCGGCGCCACCATACAAACGGTACAAAGTCTCGCCGATGTGAATGGTCATGACAATATGACCGTCGATCTGACCGAGGCGCAGGATGGCCAAATCTTTATTACCACCGAGGATGGGCAGGGTAAGTGGCAATTGAGCTGATGCACAACTGTCTCGCTGTATGTGTGTTAATCTTACTTCATTTTGACAACCATTCGCAGGATATCCGGTGTCAGTGAGCAATGTTATATCGGTGCCCGTCTCCATGTATCAGTCGGTGATGGCCAATATGCAGCAGCTGCAGACGAATAGCGATGGCACCGTGTGCCTGGCCCCCATGCAGGTAGATAACAGCAACACATCAAACAGCAACAACAACAACAACAACAACAGCAACACAAACAACAGCAGTAATAATAGTAGTAGCGGCAGCCCATCTGCTGCCACGCCCACCTCGCTGCTAGGCATCTCAGTAATCAATGCTGGCGCCATGCTAGGCCGGCGTCTCACTGGCAGCGGCGCTGGCGTCGCAGCAGCAGCGGCAACGTCCAGTGCCGGACAACAACCGGCGCTGACATTGCAAGCGCCGCCTGGCATTCGGTTCTACTGGGCCGCCAGTCCGGGTAGCGGCAGCGGCGCTGGCAGCAACAATTTGAATACTACCGCTAGCTTTAATCTCGCCAATAACAATAACAATAGCATGCTTACTAACAATAATAATAATAATAGCAACAACAACAACAACAGTAGCAGTAACAGCAGTAGCAATCATAACATTAAAATGACGCTGCCCGTAGTGCTGACAGCGCCGGCGACGTCCACTGCGCAGCGGCGCCTCGAGCCAAACGCGTCTCGGCGCACACCGCAAAAGCGCCGCAAGCTGAACAACAACAACAACAGCAGCGCCGGCAGCAGCAGCAGCAACAACAACACTAACAATAATAATAGCAAGCTAGCTTTACGCAAAAAAGGCAGCGACATAACGGTACCTGCTGCTGCTGCTGCTGCTGCTGCTGAAACGTCCACCATACGCTGCGTGGACAGCGCCAGTTTGACCAATGCCAGCGGCGGCGTCGGCGGCGGCAGCGCAGCCTTGCAACTGCAGCTGCCAGCGAAAACCATTAAATTAGAGCATTTGGAGTAGTAGACTTTAAGCAGCCATAGGCACACACTTGCCACGCCCACGCCCACGCCCATGCCAAACGCCTATTTCCATCAATATTTAATGCTAGTTACCATTGCACGTATCAAATCTAGTCAAAACGGCGCTGCGTGCACACAGACACACAAACACTTGCCATTTTTACTTACATTACACAAATATACATACACACACGCACATCGCTGTACATACAATGCACACACACACACACATACATATATACAATATACAAATGCAAACAATTGTGAATGCCGACAAATACCAAAAAGAAAATATCAAATCAAATTCGAAACAAGAAACATATATTTTAGAATGCGATAGATTTGCCTTAGTAATCGATGAATAGCATAATCGATAAGTAAATTTAGTTAATTAATCGTCACTAAAGAAGCATGCCCCATCTCCCTGAATTGAATTTAAATTGAGCCAAAAATTTGTTTATAGTTCAAACAGTGAAACCAAAAAGCTACAAATATTAAATGAAATTGAATTGCCAAGTTCCTAAAACACAAAAACAAAAAAAAAAAAAACATTAAAACCAAATGAATTCATTTAATTAGTTTGTTTTTAACAATGTAATCGAAACACAAGCCAAATATTAACCTATTTAGTTGATTGAGTGAAAACACACAGTTTTGATTTATTTTGTAATTTTCTTAGACTTTGTTAGTTTGTTTTTCTTATTTTTTTGTTTTTTTTTTGTGCAATCCATGGAAAATATGCAAATCTTTTATTAAGTTTTATTTTGTAGTTTAATTTAAGTAGTTGGATTTAGCAAACAGGGAATTTTGAATGCTATTATGTTAATACAAGCACTGTGAATTAATCAAAATTAAAATTAAAAATCAAATCAAATTAACAAAGTAATAAATTTATATATAGTCATGTATTGTTGAAATCGTCCAACGTAGCCAATTTTGCATTCAAAATGTAGAAAATAATGTAATACAAAAAAAAAGTTAAGAAAGAAAATTTTAATTTAAAAAAAAAAATACATATATATATTATTATTGTGAATATAATTAATTATCAAAGTCATGTGGCCAAAAATTTGTATGTGCATACATAAATTTTATGTTTTATTATCATTATCATTATAATTATTATTCTGTTTTTATTACTGATTATGTTTATTATTATTATTATTATGATTGTTTTAGAGCAATTTTAGTTATGTATAAACAGAAAAGCAAAACAAATCAAAAAGTGCGAATGAAACGCAAAGCAAAATCAAACAGAATTACTGAATAAATTCTTTATTGTTGTGATTTTATAATTATGATTTTTTATTTAATTTTCAATTCAATTCAAAAAAACAAAAAAAAAAAAGAATAATTAATTTTGTAATTTCCTTTTTTTTAGCAGCTCATCAAGAAATTTGTTAAATTTTTTATTGCTTGATTTTTAAGTAAGTACTCAATTTATTTGTTATACTTTCATTTATTTGTCATACGAAGCCAAACAACATGAGTAAATTTATGGACAAGTTCACGCATATATTGTTGTATTGATGTCGGATTCTATATGTATATATACTGATAATTGATCTCTTTGACAGGTGGAAAATGGCGATCAATTGGAAACAATAACCGTCTCGCCTGGCATGCATCAGATGATGATACAGGGCGGTCCCGGCCAGGAGCCGCAGCTGGTGCAGGTGGTCAGCCTGAAGGATGCGACGCTGCTGAGCAAGGCCATGGAGGCGATCAATTCGGGCAATGTCAAGGCTGAGGATACAATCATAATGGAGCAATAGATAAATTTGGCATCGAGATTGATCATGCATGTACATGCTTGAACCATACACTAATACATTCATTTTTTTTTTTTTCTTTTTAATATACATATATATATGATTACGCGTATATATATTTATGTGTACTATGTATTTATAGTTACTCGAATGTTTATTTATATTCATGACGCATAAACGAAAATATTTTAGAAGTACCTGAAAGGTGTTGCTAAAACAAATAAGTCAACAAAAAGCAATTCTCATTTGATAATTCGTTACATTTGCCATTGTTTCTTAATTTTATCGATCTGCAATTGAAATTAATCGATTCTAGTCATCAAGTACTTAAACTTTTATTACAATAATTTATTTATTTGTTTTCTTTTTTTTTACTGTACAAACAGTTGAAAATGTCTTCGCATAGTGTAATAATTGAAGATTGCGTTAATTTTAATCAATTTTTTTTAACAACTCATTTAGTTCTTAATGAGAAAAATAATATCGAAAATAGTTAAATTCAAATCAATGGAGAACAAACTCCAAGTTCTAAATAAACCGTTTTTTGCGAGCCATTAGCGAAGGGCGCCGCACCTAATGTACTCATATACCTATACATAAATATTCATATATATTTACTGTATATATATACAAATATATATATAAATCAATATTTATATTATGCATCTATATAAGAATTATGCCGAGTTACTTGTACGTATGTTATGGGCTTTACTAAAAATCAATTCTAATTTGCGTCTATGCATTAACTAGTCATAAAGTTAAATTAAAATAAAACAAAACAATTTATATTAAACTAAAAACCAAAATGAAATTGTAATTCATCTTAGGCCAAAAAGAAAGAGAGAAAAATAAACAGATAAACCCAATGCAATGTAAACAAGAAGCATCACTTTAAATTTAATTATTAATTATAATAAATAAATAAAATGTATACAAAATGTAAACACTCTTGTGTCAATTATTTCAATGCTATCGTTAATTATATATGCGTACAAATTTATTTACATAATATATTTTACAATATTATTTTGACTCATTCAGGGTTGTCTTTTAGAGCATCAGTATTATAAGTTTATAAAATTTTAGTTTTCTTAATCAGCGTCAACAGCCGACTCTATATGTCCACATCATCTGGTTTTATACCCAGACGGCAGTGAAAACTTTCAGTCTCAGTGCCACGCCGCTTAAAACTTTAAGCATTACCGGAGGTGTCTAAATCGATCCAGCATATCTAACCCATAGTGATCTAATGCCACATATAAGAAAGTCTTTCAGCTATTTTCAAAGCCCACGAAATTTATAAATTTTATTTGAAAAATATATTTTGTGTGAAAAATAAATAGGAAAGCCCTTTCTCTTTTACTCTATGTCTTATTATAGTTCTATAACATAGACTTGATATTTGCATTCGAGCAGGACATCATGTCAATATATTAAAGCCTTTTGTGGAACTACTCCAAAAACAATTCTACTGTGCACATTACGAATCAGGAATCCGAAAATAGTAGTTCCCCAACTTCCCTATATATACAGAGATCTATTCTCTATATATATATTATACTTACACTTTTCACACATATTTCGTTTCCGTAAATAAATATTTCTAGTTGATCGTTAAACTTCTTTTTTTTTTTAATCAAAATTTGTTTTATAATTGAAAAAGAAGTAGAGGAAAAACATATTATTGTTTACTTTATTATTGACGTTACTCGTTCATTATGAATTATTGTTGTTGTTGTTTATATTAATAGATTACACGCTATGTTTTTAATTGCTAACATTTGTAACGCATTATTATCAATATTATTGGTTGTTTTAAATATTAACTTGTACAAAAAGTCTAGACAACAAACGCAAGAACACAAAACATTTTTCTTCATCTGTATATATAATTGTATATATATATATATATATATAAACTATATATATATTACATATATATGTATTACGCATGTATAACCCAAAAGTGTTTTAAGAGCACAACTCGATTAATAAAATATATTTATAAAAAAAATCAATCAAACAAAATTTCACAAATTTCTTAAATTACAGTTAAAAATTAGGCTACGCAACAAACAAAATAAAAGATATAAAACAAACACGAACGAACGAACTGAGGGAAAACAAATTTACAAGAAAAAAAAAACTGGTTTTATAAAATACTAAAATTATTGATTATGTTTAATAATAGCTAAGCAAAAATTTCGCTAAATAAAATGTGCTAACTGATAAGGCAAACCGAACGAACACACTAAACGGGACTTCGAGCCTTGGAATCGGAAGTCGAAATCGCATTGCAAATCGAGTCGAGCGCAAAAAATGTTTAACGAAACTGAACAGAACTTGGTGGATGTTACGCGGGGATGGAGCTATAGGGGCTGTCAAGGAGGGGGCTTACTCATTCATATATATATATAATATATAAATGATAGGTTAAGTGTACGTATATACACACATACTATAACGATGCTGGTCTTCAAAATATATCCGAAAAACTATGTATAAATAAATTAATTTCTATCTGCCGAAATGTTTCCAACTAATCTTGCAAATATTAACTCAGTGTCTCTCTATGTGTATGTGTGTGTGTGTATGTGCCTTATAGCTCAGTGCTCAGCAGAGAAAAGCTCCAGTGCCGCCTGACGGATTAGTAATTGAATAACAACTATTGTATTATATAATTGAGTATTAAATAATGAGGCATTCGCAATTGAATTATTCTTTCGATAGTTTTGGATATCATTTTCGTTACGTTTTCATATTTTTGTGATTTTTGTTTTGATTATTGTTCAGTTGTAACAACAGAATAAAGCTAAAATCGCGCTGTTCTCTGCGCTTCTCTCTTTCTCTCTCTCTCTCTCTGTCTGTACCCAACACTATTTGCCTTTTACTGTGCTAATTTAGCTTTGTTTGTTGTTTATCGTTTTTCGGTTTAGGGTAATTTTGTTTTTGTTTTCGTTTCTTGTTAAAACGTGTTAATAGTTAGTGAGTAAATTTCGCTTAAAACAATATATATGATTTTGTACTCTGATCGCACTGGGTCTTGAAATGGGATCTGGATGCAGCAGTGTTTGGGTAGGGGAAGCCGGAGTGGTCTGAGGGTTGAGGGTGGGCGGGTTAGGTAGCCAAAGCTCCAGCCGTGCACTGAATACTGAGCTATTTAGACTAAATAAATTAAAGATTGTAGCTAATCCATTGCAGCGCACAGGCCGCCACAGTTGAATCTCCACCACTATTGGCTGCCGTTGCTCCTGCCGCTCCTGCTGCTGCAGTTACTCTCACTGGACGCTGTTGTTGGTGTTGTCGCTGTCGCTTGCTTGGATATCACTGAAATCGCGTGATGATGGACTGCATCGTACTCGCTCCTAATGTTGAC